ATCCAAACACGGAAACCATAAAGTAATTGTTTTATAAAATAACAACAACACGGTAGTCTTCCGTGTTTGGATGGCCTGATCCAAACACGGCTTTCGACCAATCAGAATACGCGTTATATACATGTTATTTTATAAAATTCTATACAAAATGTTAGTTTGTTTGTCTGAGTCTCGCGGGGGGTCTTCATTTGGAAAATCTATTTTTAGCTACTGCGGACAACGCTATTGCCGTCACTTTGACGCTTCTGCTTGCGTGAGCAGATTTTCCTCATGCATGAATTATTAATTTTATTTGAATTATTAAGATTGTTTAATTTAAACAAATTATCGATTTTTTAAATGCTAAATAAATAAAATACTTTAATTTAAAATGGTTCATTGTTCATTAATAAATAATGACGAAAATTTAAAGCAAGCGAGGTTGTTTATTTGAAATTTGAAAGCCCTCGCCATTTGCTCATACAGAGTAATACAAACTAATCCTTTAGTAACGGAGCAGTCACGCGATGTGCTTAGCCAATCGAGAGACTCCAGCTAGTCTCACGTAATTAACATAAATTTAAATCGATTCAGCATAATTTTTAACAGCTAAGCTGTTTAGTGTTCACCGTAAAATGTGAGACCAAGATTTTACTGTATGCTAAATCGTGCTTTATAGTTTCAAATCAATTTGCATATTTCTTATTTGAAATTAATTTATTCCCAAAATATATTGAGCAACGTTTTCCTTTTTCGTTAGGCTCGACGAAGCTTGGTTTTTGCAAAACATTTGAGGAAAATTGAGGACAAATTCAGGCAGGAAATTTTAAATTCAGACGATGAGAAGGACTCAACTGTGACGAAGAAAGACTGGCGTAAAACAAGGAGAAGGAAGGCAGTGCTGTGGGAGGACCATACCTTGCTGTTCATCTCAGACGTGCGGACTTCCTCTATGCAAGGAAAAACTTCGTTCCAACATTAGACGGAGCCGTAATGCAGATCAAGACAATCATGGAGAAACAAAAACTAGATACAGTTTTCCTTGCCACAGATGCTCCAGAAAATGGTAAGATACACATCAGGATTTTGGGTATCTTACGCGATAGAACTAAATATTGAAAGGTTTCTGTACATGCAAATTTTGAGTGTTTCATACCTAACCGGGAGCAGTTGCCGAAAATGCAACTATAGACCCTCTGGCAGGAATCGAACCTGCGGTCATGTGATTCCAGTGCAGCGCTCTAATCAACGCATGGGTCACAGGTTGGATTCTTGCCAGAGGGCGTATAGTATAAACCAGGGTTTTTTTCAGGGATTTTATAGGACCGTAAAACGGGCCCCAGAAACTCAATCTTGAATTGAGTTTTGAAACTCAATCTTCTCACCAAAGTTTCAGTGAAGTAAAAATGAAGTTGTTTGAGTTAAATTCGTGACGTGTGGAAATTAGTTTTCAGTTGAAAAGCCGACAATTAAGAAAAAATGGCTGAATTAATCTCACAACACAAGAAAAACTTTGCATTCACCATCTTTAACCAGTTTATAGCGTCTCTTACCTTGCTTTAACACTTTGCATCTCAACTACATTTATTGAGTACAGGTGTCGGGGGGGGGGGGGGGGGGGGGGGGGGGTGCAGCCACCCCAGCTGTTCAGCTAAATATCAAGTGTTTAAAATATACACTCGAAATTTCCGTCCAAAAAAGCCTATACGCACTCTATGCTCGCACGACTGAAATATTTTCTTGAACGAGTTAATTATATATTTCAAGAGCTTCTGCCAGTTTCCACCAGTTTATTAGAAGCATTCAATGAAAACCTCAGCTCAGAGAAAATGTCTTTTGTAATCTTGGTTTGCATTTAGTCGTGACGATTGTGAACATATGAAGGCGGAGCCGATGCAAGATAATATCGACATATTTCTACAATAAGTGAAAACCGATTTACATATGACAAACACAAAAACCGAGAAAGATCCAAACTACTGTATTTCCGATTAGTTACCATGACTTGATCACGCCTATACGTCAAGTTAGTTAGCCGACGGAATACATGCATGAAACCTCCTCCCCCATAATACTCAAAAAAAGAAATGACCACCATAGGACAAGCTGAAGATTGTATCACCACCCACCGCCCTCCCCCATTTTCTCTGTATTCTACCCTATAGAGTATAGTGTATAAAATGAATAATGAACGGTTCTATATTCACTCCGGAGATTATGGGAAAATCCTTGAGGTTGACCATCGTTGTCAATGGATTTCTTCTGTGATATAATCTTGAACAGTCTCTGCCAGTGTAGGTAGTGATAATACTAACAAGCGTTCGTTGTTAGCGTTTCGAATTTCGCTTTGTATTCTTCAGGTAGTGCATCCCTACCAACAAAAGTTTGTTTTTAATGTCACTATTTACTGTACACTGGCAGAGACCGTTCAGGATTATTTCCATTGATTTGTAACTGTCGTGATCATAACATGGTGGCATTGATATATTTCTACTCTCACCGGGTTCCTTGAAAGTCTTTAATTTGTATGCAGATCTTTAAGGTCTTTGAATTGTGTGAAAAAGCGAAGAAAGTCTTTAAAAGTTCTTTAAAATTAATTATTTAGTGAGTATTTGCTTATATGATTTCCTATAGCTAATAAAATAGATTGATTGAAGAGCAAGGTTCTCGCAAATATCGACGACAAGGTACATTTTAAGATGTGTTGTGGCGGGACTAATCACTGGGCAAAAATGGTGTTTACGCTCGCAAGTTTTCGACAGCTAATTGTTCTCAAAGATCTTTGAAAAGTCTTTGAAAATAGGCAGAAAAAATCTTTGAATATTTTTGGTCTCGGAGACTACGAACCCTGTATCAGTGAATTAATATACAGCAAACTAAAAGTCCAAACTATGTCCGATCTACTAGTGACCTTGGTTGGGTCATGCCTGAATGTATCTGGTTGACACCATGCAGAAAGCTGTGGATTGAGAGATATTCAACTACCTGAACAATATAAGTAAAACGTCGACGTTTCAAGCGAAGATCCTTCGTCGGGAAGTTAGTACCATGCTACTGACTTCCTTACGAAGGGCCTTCGCTCGAAACGTCGTAGGTTTACTTGTATTTTTCATGAAGTTGAATCCCTCTCAATCCGAAGTTTTCTGGTGTTATTGTCATAACCTACGCTGGCATAGACCCAGGGCCGTAGCTAGACCGCTAATAGAGAGTTTAGCGAACTTAAGCAAAGCTTAATCTTGTACGGGGACGTGTCAAGAAACAGCCTTAAATTTTACCCTTTTAGAATTATAAAGAACTACCGTTATTGAGAACTTCAACAAAGCAGAACGAAAGTGCAACGAGAACAGCTAATAATATCATATTAGTGCAAGAAAATGAGCGGAAATTAATAATTGAAATCTCACGGGCGTTTTAGATGTCGCCGTAGCTTTGTTTCACAACGGCAAAATACAGATTATCACGTCTTGTATACAACGCTTACAATTCAAGCTGGGACAACTGCTATTTTAAGTTGGGTGCTGGAACTTTTCTCAATCATAAACCCAGTGTAATTAGTTTTGGTCCTTAAACTGCATTATTTTCATACAATGCATAATAGAAGACAGGTTTTCTTCTGGAATCATTTGGTTCAACGAGCTTCTTTGCCGTAGCCGTCGCGTTCCCGTCTAACATACGACAACGACAACGGCAACGGGGAAAATATAATTGCTTATATTATTGTATTTGAGCTAAAGTATACGTTACTACACTTAATTATTTGCCTTTTTAAGTGTTGTTGCTTCTCTAAAACAGCTATCTTATAGGTAAAAATAGTCCGCGAATTCAAATAAAACACCTCAAATAACATCGAACGAATTAACTGTTGATTTCTTTTGAAAACGATTGGTTTTACGGTATGTGAACATGAATATGCACCCCCTCCCAATCATCGCGTCTAGCTACGGCCCTGCCACAGAATAAAGATCAGTAACATAAGGGCCACTCAGCGGTGCAACGTGTCCGCATTTTTTTTATGCAAAAATATGCAGTTTACTAGCCAGAAGGCAGAGCAGCCAGCCAATACAGCGTGTTTATTGGCCAGAAAATGTCATTGACTGGCTAGGAAAATGGCGGCTAACATGCGTAATGCGACCTGCGCGAGGACAGAAACTTCAAAGCTTCCGACGTAAGTTGCCTTTCTATATGGATCTTTATTCTATGGCCCTGCATTATAGACCGTTCGAGTTTATATGTTGTTAAGTTGCTATATATGTGAAAGAGATACAACTACCTGAAATATATAGGCAGAACGTCGACGTTTCGAGCATACAACCTTTGCCCCTCAGCGTAGCTATCTCACTCACACCGTAGTTGTTTGCTATCGTCGCCACCTACTGTACTTACCAGCCTACCACCGACCGTTCGAGATTAGTTTCGTTATCACTATATAATCAGTAAAGACTGTTTTGTATACAGCATGTAAAAGACGAAATTATCAATTTCACATGGTCGAACACGATGTGTTCATGAGAGCTGCTACCAAATCGTTATAGTATTGTTAAATGATTTGTCGTTCAACCAGGTTAGAAAATCTGGAAAGGCTGAAAATCAGGTGGAATGAAATTTACATATTATGACCGCGGCTCTGTCAAAATTGTCTTGAAAAGACGTACCAATTCGGAGTGTCTTCTGCACATCCAAATGACGCGTTCTCCGCCGGGAACAAATTTCAGTTGAACCATATAACGTGTAGATGAGACTGTGAAGCAAAATAAGGAAACGTGCACCTGAGGGAGTATATCTTCTAATTTAAAACAGTCAACATTGCCGAAACAAACATTTGAGCAACTTTTGCGTGTTCAAATGATAATTGAAGTCTTGAAGAGTTGAATAATTGGATATTCATATTAGAACTCTTCCAATTTCAATCAGTCTTAAATGTTATAGTTCAACTGAAATTTGTTCCCCGCGCAGAACCTGTGTTTCAAAAAATATTTTCTTATAGATTTATATTTAGGGCAAAAGTACACAATACACCCAGGGACGCCGGAACGATGTGAAGGCACGGGGGAGAGATTTTCGTGAAAGGGCACTTTTGAATTGATATATCCTATTAGGTGTTTACAAAACATCGAGAGTTGAACTTCGCCTGATCATGTTTTCTATTTATTCGATGATAGGGGTGTGAGGGGGTTCTCCGCCAGGCGATTGTGCTATTCTTGAAGCTCGATGACTGCATTTCTTGCGTTTTCAGAAGCAAATTCGAAAAAGAATCGCACTAACATTTCTGACAATTCGCTATTTCGCCAAGGTAATCCTTTAAATTGAAAGGGTACCTTTGCCCCCTTGCCCCTCCTGGTAAAGGGCAACGGGGGCGGCTGCCCCTCCTGCCCCCCCCCCCAGTTCCGGCGTCCCTGAATACACCCTTCCGGAAAGTAATCAGTCTATAGAGCCTCGTTTTCGTGATTGAGAGCCCTTTATCTTAATTGATACAGGTGACCTATTTATGAAATCATACATGCATGCAGGTATTTCATTGAATATAATAAGACCTGTTTGTAATGTTACTCTGAGTGTATATCCACACCGGGCGAGCTTGAAAAATATGCCCGGCCACGGTTGGAATCGAACCTACGACCTTTGGAAAACTAGCCCAATGGTCTGCCAACTGAGTTACGCGGTCAGGACGGTTCGAGTAAGTGATATTTCGGAACAGAATCTAGTTCCTTCGATACCAATGTAATCTAGTAATATGATTTTTCTCTGTGTTGTTTTATTGGGTTAGTTTTCCAAAGGTCGTAGGTTCGATTCCCACCGTGGCCGGGCAAAAACAAACATTATATCACAAACATTATATTCACCTGAGTACACAACACCAACACAGAAAAAAGAAAAAAAAATCATATTACTAGATTACATTGGTATCGAAGGAACTAGAAGCTGTTCCGAAATATTACTTACTCGAACCGTCCTGACCGCGTAGCTCAGTTGGCAGAGCATTGGGCTAGTTTTCCAAAGGTCGTAGGTTCGATTCCCACCGTGGTCAGGCATATTTTTCAAGCTCGCCCAGTGTGGATATACACTCAGAGTAACATCACAAACATTATATTCACCTGAGTACACAACACCAACACAGAAAAATCATAATAAGACCTGTTTATGTTTATGTCAGCGGTAACAAGATAAAGGGCTTAGAGCCAATGTCCATGCTGAGCACTTTCCAGAAATATGTATTGCTCAATTTTTCACATATCTGTCCTACTATTCTGCCTTTCAGAAATAAATTACTTAAAAGAAAGACTACCACTCGTTAAATACGAACCAACGAGGTCTGTTCTCAAGAAGTATGGAGACGGTGGAGTGGCAATCATTGATCAATGGATATGTGCACACGCCAAGTATTTTGTCGGAACTAAGGAGTCGACGTTTTCTTTTAGAATTCAAGAAGAAAGGGATATCTTAGGTTTTAATGCGGACACAACATTTAACTGCTTGTTCTGATAAGGAGATCGGTACATGTGAACAACCGACAAGATGGAGAATTGTGTATTAATAGTTATGAATTTAGATGTTGTATTTATAAAACATGGTCGTGAAGGAATAGAGTTCTTAATATATGAAAATGTGAATCCATTTTTCCCCCGACGAGACCATGAATATGTAAAATGTGAAATTACAACATATAGACCTTATTCATAAATCTCAATCAGGACCTCGTATCCTAGGAAACGGGAATAAACGCGGGAAAACATGCGAAAACTGCTTTTTCTCCCGTTTTTTGTGGTAAATCATGACAATGTAGCGATGGTGTTTATCTCCAGAAGCGAAAAACAGTATTTTACTGAGATTTTAACGTCAATAAACTCAATATATAGGTTATTCCGTGAAAAATCAAGACAACTATGGAATAAAAGTATAATTTGACATTAATATGAAAGAAAAGAGGTCAAAAATCACAAAAGAACGGACAAAGTATTATTGATTCGTAAGGAAAAATATAAACTGCGGCTCGATGGCATTCTACAAGCAGCTTATACAAGTTTAAAAAATGAAAGCTACATTACCTGAGTGAGTTGTAATCTTATTCAACAATAGTTTCATATTTCTTACAAATTTTGGTATTGTAGACGTTTTGTAGCCTTGACCTTGTTGTTTGTTTCATGTTTTGACCATACAAATTACGACAAGTCGACAATAATGCAAAGGTTTCCTTTTCAGATTGACTCCAGCATCTTTTGCTTTAAATATCATGTTATATTTTCTCAGAATCTTTTGTTTCAACTTTCAAGCTTAGTTTTATATATATATTATTTTTGAAAAAAGCCGTAATATTTTCGCAAAAAAGCTGCCATAGTCGACAACAAAAAAACATGTCAATTTTCAATTTCAATTTTTTCAATTTTTTTTCAATTTTTTTTTGTCAATTTTCCCGCGTTTTTTCCCGTATCCTATAGGATACAAGGCCTCGATCACGATTTATGAATAAGGTCTATTGTATGTACAATATATTCATGAGAAAAACTGTGATGTGAACTCGCATATTCAGCAGACCGGGCTGAAGCTCACCAATTGAGCTATCGAGTCAACTGGGGAAAGTACAATTCCGAATCCATACTTCACGATAATCCATACTTCACTTCAAGATATTCTCGCGATTTATCAACTGAACATTCTTATGATGGCAACAGTTTTTCAAGTACTATTTAAAAAACGAGCAGGAGTGTTTTATTAGGTTTAAAGCCACGAGCGCGCAGCGCGAGTGGCTTTAGACCTAATAAAACACGACCTGCGAGTTTTTTAAATGGCTTTAAAAACGTTTGCATAATAAGTCAAATCTTTATATAAAAATCTTTATATAAAAACCTTTATATAAAAATCTTTATATATAAAACTTTATATAGTTTGCATAACAATGGTCTTTTGTTAAAGTGTTCTTTAGCTGGTATAAAGACGTATGCACGTCAGTGGCGTAACTACTATGGGCTCAGACCGGGGGCCCCCAACCCCAATGGGCCAAATGGGGGCCCCCAGGCTCAGGCTGTAGAGCAAATACATTGGCCAGGGCCTCTGATATGTTACAATGTCGTTTTCTGACCATCAGAATTCTGTAAAATCTCTCTCCAAAGTCCGGGAAATGGCATTTCAGAGAGCCTAGATTCAAAAATTTTCCGGAAAACTCGTGCATATACGGCGCTCAACTCGTGCATTCGGCATTTCTATTATGGGGGAGAGGGCCTTCGAAAATTTTGAACCGGGGGCCCCCTGATATAACGTTACGCCACTGATGCACGTGACTAATTTCTTACTCAAGATTGGATAATTGCTTCATGAATTATTAATGAGTTTTTAACTCTATTTCATAACAATCATCAGGGAAACCTGATACAATGTAGACCGACTCGAAAAAAAGTGGTCATTCTTTTTCTTCCCGAAATTAATTTCAACCAAGGTAATCACTGCCGCATTGTAGAATACTTCAAGACCAACAGTTTTACAAAGTATAAATATAATTTTATTATAATACCGTGTATTCTCTTTGAGAAATTAAATGTTAAAAACACCCGAATTTCTGCTAGATCAGGCAAACAAGCCTGTCTAGCCTCGTTTTGGTGCTCTTTGCACATTTCAAAGGGCTATAATTTCGTCACATGAATATAATTGTTTTCAATCTTAAACTTTTACACTTATCCCTTGAATAATAGTCTCGATCTGTTGAAGAATTGTTTATTAGTATAGGTAATCATGCGATGGCGAGTACAATTGGGGATTATTAGTACGAGTGATGTTTGGAAATTTTGCCAAAATTGGACGAGCCGCCGTACTTGTTTATTATTAGCATGACAAAATTAGATACTTTTCAATGTCAACATCATATTCTCTCGTCAATGCCCAGTTCTGCCAGACATTCAACCAAAATTTGGTGCTTTTGTTCGTATTTTCATTTATTCTTTTGTTAAAGCAAAATTTGGTGCTTTTATTCATATTTTCATCTAGTTCTTCTAGGGCAATTTCAAACACAAATGTGTTTTTAAAAATACCTTCCGCCATTTTGTTTGTTTTGGGAAAATCATTAATTGTACTGCAGTACAATTAATGAAATAATTGTACTTCTCTCAACCAATCAGCATCCAGTAATTTTGTCATGCTAATAATAAGCCTAGTAATGCATAAAATACAAAATAATGGCAAATTGTGGTAGCTATAATTTTCGAATTGGTCTGTATTCATGAGAAAGACCACTTGAGTCAACTTTATGTTGATAACGCAGTGTTGGTTTTTTCTTATGAATGTAGATTGTATTATTTTGTTTTCCTGCATGGTCATGGCTCTGAAGTGTGCCTACAATATTTTGCAACTGCTCTAAAAACACAGTATAATTTATCTATAGTTCAAAAGTGTTCAATCTATCAAGTTCGTTTTGATCAATGTCCGTTATACGTTTACGAGCTTCAACTGTTGCCATTCTCATTAGTCTTTTAGGTGGTTTTGTTGACTCGCGTTTGGTCTGAGATCTCTTTCTCGTAACAACTTGGGGTATTCATTCGGCTATCTCTTTGGCACCAAATAACATCTGTACATTCTTCTCAAAAATTGCGCACGTTTTCGAAGGTCGATATGTTCAATTCTGCCGTCTTCCAGAATTTGGTTTGCTTGCCAAAAAAGCATTGAATTTGTTGTTAATCTATGTTGTTAATCTGGACATGGTCCTCTACATACGACAGTGGTCGAATGTTGATGGTTGTCTCAACAACCAGTAAAACTTCAACTCTTTCTCTGCACACTACAAATAGCCGTTCAAATTAACCGCGACCGTGAAAGGTGTTGAACCTGTGATTCTCTCGAGTGGTAGGTTGGCTGGCGGAGGACATCCATGCGCTTTAACTTGAAATCGTTTCCAGCCAGGACAGTTTCGAATTACACGTTTCTTTAATTTCAATCATCGTTATCATTTGATCATCGTTAGTAAGACTCTCTCATGCAGAGCAGCAGAGTCTCTTAATGTGCATGTGCAACTAGGATCTCGGCAAGTACGACTTTGCCTGGAACGTAAGCAGGATAGTCCATTTGCGCTCTGCACTAATAGATACCTCGTTCGTTTAGTTGTAGGTTCAGTTGAGGCCTGTCCTCTTCAAATTTCTCTCTCTTTGCATCGAGAATGTGCTTTTGTAATCCAGAAATCGAAGTGAGCAATTATTTCTTCGGTTGTCAACCGCAGATATGATCTCCACAAATCTTGCGATCCTCGCTGTAGTTCGAAGGGCTTTCCAGAGATCCCTTTTCTCCATAAGGCTGTATAGATATCGTGCTCCGACTGCAAAGCTACGGCAGACTCTTCCGCCGTATATGCACATGCACGAACAAACAAAAGTTTTCACTGATGGAAAACCTGTCAAGGAAAACTTTCTTGTCTGTGCGGGGGCTTTATAATCAATACAAATCTGTTTTGCGAATTTTCGGAATAATTTCGAATTGTTTTTACTCCTTGTTTCACCCAGGTAGTGTTATGTTATTTATGGATTATGTACGTTTGCCGAATTTAAAATGCATTCAGAGAGGAATAAAGGCTGAAAATGTTTATTTGCCATGAAAAACATTTGCGCACAAACTTCATTTTGTGGCATTTAGGCGAAAAATTCTTGGTTGTTCGTTTTCCGATTGCGATAAATCGTTCTTCTCTTGGGTGTTTGTCGGCAAGGTTTAAGTCCAGTTTTTTTGCTTTTTATTTTAATCCATAGTAGTATAAGAGGTGCAGTTCAACAAAATCCAAAGTTTGGTTGTTTCGAATAAAAATATTGACAAACCGGCAAGGAAGCACACGCGATATATTGATCAGTCTCAGGACATGATTTTCACCTGTTTGTTTTTCATAGACATAGTCAAGGTCCAAAGGGTACATTTTGGATTTGTATTCGATAGTTCGTAAAATATCGTAAATGACAGTCTGTAATTTTTGTCAACCTTTCTGGAGAAAAAGGTACCCTTATAAGTAGGGGGCTTCTTATAAGCATAAGGCAGTCCACTTTTTTCCTCTTCAAAGTTTACTTTATATTCTATCTCGAACTCAGTGCATTCCTTCAGATCTAAACAAGTTAAGCTTAGGTTCAGTAGATTTTCATTGCGTTGTTCTAAACTCTTGTGCGCGAATTTACGTTGTTTTAAGAGCACTTCAAGAGCTAATTGACTGTAGTTCCTTGCTTGAGCAATGTTTTCAAGACGTCCTTCCACCATAGCTAAGTTAAAATAGATCGCCCCAATGCTTGGGAAAGAAACATATAAAAGGCCCAAATTATCTTCATCAGATTCGTTTTTAGCAATTTTCACAGCTAGAATTAGATAGGTCTTTGACAGTAAAAATTCACGACACTTTATCAACATCAAACTTAGACGAACAGTATTTATCAGTATTTCATGTTTATTATGGATTAAATCTGGAACTACAATGTCTTTTAAGTTGTCGGTCCTTTCACTGAATGTTCTGAAATGTGGGATCAGAGGTTTTATGCAAAGAGCACATTTATTCTGAATAAGCAATTGAAACATGTCAAAGACAAAGGCTACTGTTATTTTTTTGTCGTGTCCTGTATCATGGTATAGTTTAAGGCTGTCGTGCACGACACGATGTAATGAAATTGAAACGATCTCGTCATATTCTGAGAAAAGGATCAAAGAGCATTGCAGAATTCGAAATCGTGTATCCTCTTCGTCTTGACTTTTGTCAAAACGAAGAACATAGCTTACCACAACGTCGAGTGTTAGAGTTTCATTGGAAACATAGGAAAGAAAAGTAAAAGCATGTTTTAAAACAGAGCTGCTCTCTGCAAACGTCTTGACTGCTAATAGCACAGCTGTCGACATTGTCGATGAATAGGCTGGATTATTCACTTGTTTTAGTTTCATTTCAGTTAGTTCCCGTTTTCCTTCATCGAGTTTGTTCAAATAATCTTTCCAGCTAAACTGTGAGGATGCTTTGCTTTCTCGAAGTTGTTTGACGTAAAACCCAGCAAGGCCAAGGCAAGTGGTTGATAATCCAATTTTATTGCAACTTGTCTTACGTATACTAAATCGTGATTTTTAACAAGCCCAGATAGATCTGTAAGAAACTCACATGATTCTTGTGGATCCATACCTTTACTAACTGAAATGTGGACAGTCAGAGAACTGTTTGATGGCACAGATGACATGTCTTGTGTGGTGATTAACACTTGACCACCTTGCCAGTCTTCATCTTCCAGTTGAGGGAGAAATAAAGATATTTCACTCAAGTTTACAACATTATCAACTATCAACAACCAAGTGTATTCGCCTTTGAAATTTCTGAACATTTTTGCAATTTCCCTTTGAATAGTTTGTATTTTCACTTCTGTCGTTGCTTCAATTGAATTTCTGATGCTTGCTAAGTTACTTTGATCGCAATTCACACGTCCTGCAAAGTCTACATACGATTCCAAGATATCATGTAATGATCTTCCGTTTAAAGTCATGACAAAAATGCTCGTACTGGAACGAAACCAACTTCCTGGAATACTTGTGCCATAACGCTGACCAACTAATCTAGCAAGCTGAGACTTGCCACTTCCTGGATTTCCAGAGATATACAAATAGGACAACGCACGGTTATTTCTCAGGGACAGAATCTGTAAATCTTCAAGAATTGCGTTAACAGTTCGACTTCGATTAGCAACCAAATGAACTGGTCTTGTTCGAAACATGTGGGGCCAAATGCTTTTTAAGTGCGTTGGAAAATAGAATGGCATCCGACAAAGCAGACATATCCCATTCACTTCTCTTCCCAGATTGATACGAATTTAATAGGTGTGCAGTTGGTCTAGCATGCAACCTTGGTTTCTCCATGTTATACAATTCGATCCCAGATATACAAGTGTCGTCCCAAAGACCTTCTGTTGTACCATGATGTTTGTCCCATTCTTGTTTGAATACTTCCCGGAGACCTTCGCACACAGCAACATTCATAATTTCCATAATTCAGTTGTAGTTCTCTTTCTCGTTTCTTGTCGACGTCATGACTTGAACAGAAATTTGAACGGTATGGGAAATAATCTATGGAGAAAGTGACGTTATAATTTGGTAAAGCTTGATGATCGAATTATGGTAACAGACTTGCTTCAAGTTGTTCCAACAAGACTAATACAAACTAATGTAACAAATAGCATGTTACTGCATGTGTTCCAATTGACGTCACAAGTATAGTTTGTCCGAATATTCCCCCAATTCCTGCGGGCTTAACTATGACAAGAGAATATAGTTCATTTGCATTAATTTGAAAGTTAGAGTTTGTGCTATAAACAACAACCTTAATAATCTACGCTACTGCTACAAGCTTGTTGCGTGCAGACGATATCAGATTCGTTGGAATAACTTGTTGCAAGTCTGTTGGCCTAATCAACCTTACTACAAGATAACAACTCATTACAGACGTGTCAAAAACTGGGAACAAGCAGTGCGAACACATCCTGGTGACAAGCTGTGCGTGTATACGCGTACGACCATTGTGACATGCAGATCACAAAAAAGGTAAATACCGGAGGTTAAGCGCTTTTTGCTAGGCACAATTACTCTATCAAATTAATATTATTTCAAAACAAATACTTCGTTTCTCCGTAGTGTTTCTGTTTCTCGTCGCGGTTTGAGAAAACTACTGCAAGTTTTCTTGCACTTCCGGTTACGTATATTTCACGGCCTAGGAATGTTGCGCTTGGTCGAGATTCCCTGGGGCGAGGAGATTCCCTGGGGCGAAGACTTAAAACTTAAATAATGTTTCATGCGTAAGAAGTGTTATTTCAAAACCTCAAATTCGGACGAATAAATTTTCTGTGGTTCAATTTATAGTACCATAGATGCTCAATTACCACAAAAAGTTCCGAAGCAAAAAACTTGCCAAACACCGAGAAAATGGGTAATCAGTGATTATCCTCTATTAAAATAATTGTATTCAGCAAGAGAATGTGAAATTTCGTATTGAATTACAACAACAATGACTTGCATCGTCAGAAAGCTTACAAAAACCGCATATAAGACTTTTAAATAGTTTTTTTATATCTCAAATTGTTTTCGAGTTATATGCTGTCAAAAACGTGGTTTTGACCTAGTACCCAGTCCTTATTGCGACATTTTGGTCCAATTTTAACCTTAAAACAGCAATAACGCCAATAAGTGAACGACTATTTGAAGGATCAAAAAACTGTTTAAAAGTCTTATATGCGGTTTTTTGTAAGCACCTTGATGATGCAAGTCATTTTTGTTGTAATTGAATATAAAATTTCACATTTTCTTGCTGTAATACAATTTAATAGAGGATAATCACTGATCAGCCATTTTCTCGGTGTTTGGTAAGTTTTTAGTGCTTGGGAACTTTTTGTGGTAATCTGGAATCTATGGTTCTATGCATTGAACCGCAGAAAATCTATTCCCCAGGGGGTTGCCACGATTGCGAAATAATTTTGGCCAACGGCCCACCAAAAATCTGCCAACAGGGCAGCTTAATTTTAGAAATCACCATTCTCCTTTCCAAGTGAAGTTTTTCTTTCCCTCTACTCGATTTTAAGAAAAGAAATTCGGCCTGATACTCAGGTTAACGTTTTAATTACAGTGATGGAAAAATTAGCTAAAAAAATGTAATGTGTGTGAAGTCGCAATTACTTTTTCGAAAAAGTAATTATTATCATATACAAAGTATAGAGCGTTTGCACTCATTCCCCCGGGACCAACTCAACAAAAGCCATGGCGGTCATGTTGGTGCCCCAGACAAAAGATTCTAATTAAAATTAGGTTGAAGGTTGACCAAATTTATCAAACAATCTAGATAAACACAGAGTTCACCACTCACACTGTTTCTTCACACGACTCACACGTTCGAGGACCTTATCGTGATCCTTATCACCCAATAATGCCACCATGCAGTATTTGCCGTAAATAAACAGTAGGCTCACCGACATTCTCACGAAGCGTATTATAGGCAGCACGATAGTACGGGATATTTTCATGGTGGTGATCGCGAGCTGTCTGTCTCAATGAATCAAACAATTCCAATGCGTCATATTTGTTGAGTTCAACTGCAGTACGAGACGCCATGATGCCAGAAACTTTCTTTCACTGTCTTACACCGAGGACTGAAATATCGTTTTCAGCATTCGTTTAAGAATATCGAACCAGGGCGAAACCAGCCCCTTTTAAATAGAGTGTGTCTGCTAGAATTGCCCTGCGAAAGCCGATGACGCCCTGCACTGCAAAAAATTTTTTTGGCCACTATTTCTCCCAATAATGTTAGCGAGTGGGGGG